TATTTTTAAACTATCACTTCGAGTCATTTTTTTAGAAAACTTTAAATTATTTCGAACTCGTGCGAAGCATGGGCACTTTTCTAGTTTAGATGGTATTAAGATGAGCTCTTTTCTAGTTTAGATGGTATTAAGATTCACCATCAACGTGTCACATTTATTATTTTAATAAATTTCACGAAAGCAAATATTGTATTTGAGTTTGGAGAGTCTTGTAACGATACCATCTAGACCAACATGATGCATATTTATAAGCTCTCCATACCGGAAACTTCACAAGTGTAGAAAACGTATTTGTCTTGCCGGCATTTTCACCCATCGGAATTTTGGCCGTGGGTATCCCTAGATACCATTCACCTACTCTTTAATTTATAGGCTATGGTATTGTTGTTGTGGGTTATCTAATCTTTAATTTATAGGCTATGGTATTGTTGTTGTGGGTTATCTAATCACAAAATATTAATTTAACCAAAATGTTTTGTTTTACCATCCACTCTTCCCTACCCAACATTATTGCGTCGGTCTCTCTCTCCACTGCCACTATAACCTGATTTTTGTTATCGATCAACCATCATTGTATTCTAATACGTCATCGGCCCTACCTGTCCCCTCGGCAATCCCCAATATCTCTCTCTACCCTGTATCTATTCATTCATCATATCCATCATGGGTCGGGTGGCCTTCCTCCCCAATTTGTCGCTTTCTTTTTCAACCCCTTCCTCATTTCCCTTCTTCCTCCTTTGAATTTTCTTTTAACAGCAGTCAACCCAGTCTTCATATTAAGGATACCCATTTCTGTCACTTTCTGCATATACCGCTATAAATTATACAAGATACTGTCGGTGACTATCATCTTCTTCGCCTTCCCCTTCTCCTGCGTCTGAACTCATCAAAACCATGCCCAGACTCAATTCCGATTCGACTCGCAAAGGGTAACTTCACTTTTTGTTCGTGATTCAGTTTTTTGTGTCTAAAGTTTAAGCATTTATTCTTTTCTCTTATTGACTGATAACTGTTTGCTTCTGTTTTAAACAATGTGGGTATGCTTGATTCAACCATATATTCTGAAAAAGTATAAAGGATGCATGTTGATTCCAACAGTTGTTTCATTCGGACTTCGTTTTGTGGACATTCTCCTGTTTCGTTTTCACAGGATTTTTGTTGAAAAACCGATTTTTCTTTCTAATTTATTTCAAAATCGATTGACCCCGTTTTGGTAAATGGGTCCTCTCTCTTTTGCTTTGTTGATAAGATTTGTATGCGATTTTATTTATGTTGCAGTGATTCTGGGAATTATGGGCAGAGTTTTAATGATCAACAGGGTGTACTAAATATGTCGCCGACGCCTTCATCTTGCAACTTATCTCCAGTTAGTTTTTCTCTTTTATACATGGCATGGGTTTTGCATTAAAATACCTTGAAATCGATTTGAATGATTTCAGAAAATTTTCACAAACACTTCAAATTCCAATCACCCGATTTAAATTTTTTTTGTTTGTTGTATTTGTGTGTAGTCATATGTGGAATTGGTTGAAGAGATAACCTCCATTGAAACAGAAATACTTCATTTAGAACGGCATCTGCTTTCACTCTATCGCACAGCTTTTAAGCCACCACATCGTCACAATACAGACGAAACGCCGGAATCACATTTTCCACCCATTTCCGATCAGTCATGTGACAAATTGAAGACAAATGATCAAATTCCAAAATCATCATCTAGAAGAAAAGGTGGTCATCGTAGCCTCGGGGATCACCTTGGAACTCCTTGTACCGATTTTGCCCTTCCTGATAGACTTTCTGAAGACATGGTGAAATGTATATCATCTATCTACTGCAAACTTGGGGTTGGGGACCCAAATCAATTTCATCAAGGACCTTCTGATTCTTCTGATTCATCATTATCCTCTTCGAGTACAATATCTACCAAAAATCTTTCTGATACTTGGAGTACGTATTGTAATCAGGAAAGAGGGCCATATGGGGATATGATACAAGTCTTGAAAATAGGCTTAGATGATGATACTTTCAATTATGCTGCAAAGATGCTAATACATTTCAGGTAAATGATTTTATTTTTGTATCTTTAGATTTGGTTTTCCGAAAGGGTTTTTTTTTTTTTTTAAATTTTTTTTGAACTTTTGTAGAACATTGGTAAAGAAACTTGAGGACATTGATGTTGGGAAAATGAAGCGGGAACAAAAGCTTGCGTTTTGGATCAACATTCATAATGCTTTGGTGATGCATGTAAGTCATTTAACTTCACCCTCCAAACATTTTTCTTGCATTATTGAAACTAGAGTAAGTTACATTTTTGGTCCCTGAGTTTAGCTATTTTTTCCCAGTTTTGGCTCCAAAGAGTTTTTTTCTCTGGCAAGTTTTCCCTTATTTGAGATTCTTGTAATGTTTTTGGTCCCCATTCCAAGTAAAAATTCTAATTTTTTGGATTCCGAGTGTAGCTGATTTTTGCAATATTGGTCCTAAATTTTGTAAAAGGGACCAAAAATGTTACAAAAACCTGAATATAGACTAAAATTGCAAGAGCTACCAAAATTGAAGCTTTCAACTATACTCAGGGACCACAAATGTAATTTACTCTAGAAAGATTTTTTTTAACCCTATCTGATTTTGTTTTATTTTTTATTTTTTTTTGTTTTTCTGCAGGCACATCTAGCATATGGAACTCATAGCAATTCAAGAACCAATTCCATCTTAAAGGTAAAACTTATACCATTCTAAATTTTGGGTAAATTACAATTTTTGTTCCTGTAATTAGCAGATTTTTACGGAAATGATCCGGTTTTTTCATTTTAACCTATTTCGTCACTGAAAAGTATTTTGTCACTCTTTTAGTACCTGAAGTGGGCACCTTTAATAGATGAGCTATAAATGCATGTAAAATGACCATTTTGCCCCCTTGATTCAGGCAACTTATAACGTGGGAGGACACTGTATAAATGCGTATATCATACAAAGTTCTATATTAGGAATCAGATCACACTTTAGGGCCTCGGTTTGCTTCTTATCTTTATCTCACCATCTTTTAAAATTATGAATTTTTAACTCATTTTTAATAGCAACTTACTTTGTGAACAGTGGCTACACTCATTGTTATCCCCAGGGAGAAAATCGGCAACAGTGCCTCAACATCATGTTTATGCGATTGAATACCCTGAGCCTCTTGTCCATTTTGCACTCTCTTTAGGAACATTCTCTGATCCAGCGGTATGTACATTGACAAAACTACCCATGGGGTTGTTTAATGTTTTTTTTCCCCATGTATGGGTATAGTGGTTGAATGGGTAATGATGTATGTATGGATAAAGTTTTTCTATACATAGCGTTTGATCATTTGACCCTTAAAAGCCAAAAAAAGTTTGAACAATATTCATCAAATTTGACAGAGTATTAATCAAATATTAATGTAGGTTCGAGTGTACAAGGCGAAAAATATATTTGGGGATCTTAGAGTTGCTAAAGAAGAGTTTATAAGATCAAATGTCCATATGCATAAAGAATATTCAAAGGTATCTGTACCTAAGATCTTGTACTACTTTGCAAAGGATATGGCGTTGACTGTACCTGGACTTTTGGAGATGGTCAATGCTTGCCTACCAGAAAGTCAACGGAGAGTAATTGAAAAAAATGTTGACAAGTATGTTTGTTGGTTATCACAAAGTTCCATATTTGGTTATGTGATTCATAGAGATGCTATTGAAGGAAGAGTGTTTGTTTGATATGTATTTTGCTGTTTCTTGCCATATTGTGGTACATATGAATATGATACGATATAGGAGGAAAGAGGTGTACAGAGTTTTCAGGGATCTTGATGTCTGTTGTTTCATCTTCTGATGGGGTTTCTTCTTTTTCTTAAACACCCTTATTAATTATTACTTGTATTTTTTTTTTCGTGTGTCAAAATGACATGGAACGCAATACTTTCTTAGTCTTGTAGAGTGTGACACTTGTTTTTAGTGGTTGTTCCGTTCTATCATATAAATAATAATAAAAAATAGGTGGTAGAGTTTAAGGTTAACTGAATCTTGTTTGTATTTTGTTGGCTTTTAGTGGAATAGAATTGCAATATAATTTCTCATGTTTTTTCTATTCTTTTTTTTTTTTAGATTGTAAATAAGAATAGTCGGTAACTCAGATATAATTACAAATAATATAAATGATACTACAAGACTGATAAGAAAAATACGATAACAGAAATAATAAATAGTTATAATGAGAAAAATTAGTAGCAAATGTTCTACTATAGCAATTGGTAATAATAATAATAAATATCAATAAAAGAAACGAACGTATAAAGAAAATAAAATAATTTGCACCCTAAGATAATGCAGTTTCCTTCAAGCGGTGGGTGTATTCTCAGATTTCAAGGGAATTCAGTTCCTTGATATTTTCAATCAGAAAATGATATGAAATCTGGTTAAATGAAAAACATCTTCCTATTGGATTTAATCGAATCCCATCAAATCTAACATGCTCTTGCTTTTAACATGGGGCCTCTAATCATGCCAAACGGAAACACACTCAAGTGGAAGAAAAAAAAAAGTAGTTCAAATGACTATCTCAGGAAACCTGTTCCACAAAATAGTTGGATTTGACAATTCTAAGATTCAAAATCTTTGCTCTCATAAAATAGTCTCACGCACTAAGAGATTGTGATTTGACAAATCTTAGTTCTTACCCAACGTATATTTCAGCTTTTTTGAGAAATTGCCATGATTTTGAAAAAATGTCAAATATATCTTCTTTTTTTTTTTTTTTTTTTTTCTAAAAGCCAAGAATTACGATGAAACAACAAAATCCATCCAAATTACTAAAAGTAAAACCGACATAGCCTATGTCATATTCAGCTTGTGACAGAAAAAGAAAAAGAAAAAAAAGAAAAAACCGGATTTGATTAATTTGTTATAAACATATAAACTTAGACTCTACGTATTATATTCTAAATAAATCACCAAAAAGCATCTACAAAATTTCAGTGAGTCAAGTCAATCAAGCTTGCACTTCCGCAGGCATTTAACCATCAACGAAATCACCACGTACAAACCTCCTACCTGCACCACAATCAGCACTACAACAAAAAAAATAAAAAAATAAAATAAAATAATAAAGTTAAATAAAAAGTCAACACTTCACACCACCTCCACTTTCTCAAATTTTCATTACGCTTTGTGTTTAGTTTGCAGATTCTGATGGATTCCAATGGAATGCAAGATTCCGTTCCATAGTATTTGTTTGGTTGCCAAAGAGATGGAATTGAAAATCATTTTTTTTTTTTTTTTTTTGATGGATTTCACCATTTCTTCTATGGGAGGGTGGAAGGAAAGGTATTCAATTCCTTTCTTCCTAAAACACCACTATACCCCCCTTATATAAAAGACTAAATTACAAATTTCGTTCCAGTGTTTTCTGTTTTTCCTTTTCTTTTTGGTTCAAGTCCACAGATGAAACAGTGATATAAGAAGAAAATTTTCAAAAAGTTTCATTTTTGGGCCTATAAACAAAAAAAGCACAGGGACCAAATTTGCAAATTTCTCTCTCTCTCTCTCTCTCTCTCTCTCTCTCTCTATATATATTATATATATATATATATATATATATATATATATATATATATATATATATATATATATATATATATATTGAAGTATAAATAAAGTTTCAACCAACCAGCTGTGCCTTTTTTTTTTAAAAAAAAAAAAAAAAAAGGTAAGGGTAGAATTGTAATTGAAAATATAATAACATACCGGTTACAAAAAAGGAGAATAAGATAGCCAAGCGATGTCTTGTAAGCCATGGTAAATCAACTTCAAGATTACAGTGTTGTTGGGGTAATTGCGTCTTTTTGGTTTTGGTTTTAAGATCAGGCAATGATGTAGTCACACTATTAACAACCTCACCACTTACGCCTCTCACTTCAAATCTCAAACTCACGGGTTTTGCCTCCCAATCTACTTGTATAACTCCAAAATTAGGTTGTCCTATACATTATACATTATAAATTATAATTTAAAAATTATAAATAATGGATTAAATAGGGAGAAAGAGAAACCGTATGTGCATGATTTGTATTTGCAGTTGTTGTTGATAACTCTCATGGTGGTAGGTGTGACCCATGCCAAGAATCTCAGCCCAAAATGTAGAAATGAAGGGATCACCTTCTCAACAGCTTGGGTAAGACCACTTGAGGTGATGTCATACAAGGGATACGTGGTCCCACAATCGAATCGTGTTATTTCTCCAAAATGTACATCTCCACTTATGAATACAACCCCATCTCTCTGTTATATTAATAAATAAAAATTAAAACTCTCAAATCTCAATCAGAATAAAAATATAAATACCTTGCTATCTGATATCATGTTAAAAAGATGTTTTCTGTCGCTTGGAAAACGTCCCCAGCTCTCCATGTAGAATAAAGGACCCGTACATGCTGAAAGATTTGATACAACCTGAAATTTAGGCATCCATTATTAAACCTCTAATTGTATTCTTTGTGATTGTATTTGGCATAAATGATAAACTGATGATTATTTGTGAAATAAGAAAGTTATATACCTGAATAGATGAACCAATTATTGTTATTGCTGAAGGTTGATCATTCAACTCCTTTTCTAACCACTTCCATTGTGCAGTTCCCAAAATAGTTCCATCACTGCGTAGGGGGTCTCTGTGGTATCTAGTATCCAAAAGAATCACCTAAACCCAAATAAGTCAGATACACATACACTACGCATCTATATATTGATAAGAAAAAAAAAACCAAACAAATCCAGTAATATATAACAAATAATACCTTGATCTGTCTACCCTCAGGACCAAATGTGTAAGATGCATAAACACCAGCCTGCTTACGTCTACAGAAGCAAGCATATCCCCATTTGAGTAATTATCAACAATAACATGGAAAGTGGAAACTGCTTTTTTTTTTTTTTAAGCAGTATTTACCTTGGACTATCATGGGGTTCATCCAAGAAATCCAGCATAAGCTTTTGATTGGTATCTTTCCCTTTAAATTCTTTCCCAGCATCATTCAATCCATAATCATGATCATCCCAAGTGCCAATCACCTACAATATACTTGCACCATGAAACAATACCAAAACTCAGTGTTAATGAAGCCCAAAAGTTGTTTAGGAAGTAAAGAAGCACCTTAGCAATCTCACGGAGACGCGAATAACCATGATTCTTCTTTGCAATCTTGTATTTCTCTTGCATTTCATCCACTGAAGAAGGAACAAACCTAGGAACGTTCTTCCATGGCCCAATGGTTCTCTCATTCCCAAACAATTTAAAAGGCCTCCTGATATCTCCATATATATTATCCCCAAGCCAAATAAAAACTTGAGGTTTGAAATTTACTATAGCGTCCCATATAGGCTGCAAATAAGAGATTCAAATTCGGATTAGCCCTATACCCTAAAAAAACACCCCTTTCTTTTTTCAAAAATACAAGCTCTACCTTCATTTTCAACTTCAAAACAGGTAGTTATGTATAGATCATTTTATTTGCAGTATCTATTATAGCATAAAGTTTTTGCAGTCGGCAATTGATGATTGAAAAGCTTTTTGTATTCACGTTCAATTTCCATATCAAAACTAAACGTTTGACATTAAAATCAAAATCGTTTGACATCAAAAATCAAACTGCACTTCTTTTTGTTCTTCCTCGGGCTAGTAATACACTAATTTTGTCATGAGAACAACGGAATTCTACCTGTGGAGAGGTCTGATTAGCGCAAGAACCAAATGCAATTCGAGAGATGAGAGCTTCTTCAGGAGCAGCAACACTGAAACTGAATGCCGTTGCTATCACCATCCACGTCAGTACCGTTGCCATTTGTTCAAGTTTCTACAACTACTGTTATGGAATACGATCAAGAAATTTAATCGGTTTGAGTTTTATGGGAAAGGGGGTTTTGTGATCGACGTCGATTGTAGGCGGTTTATATAATGATGAGAAACACAAAATGCACTGAAATGCAAAACATCAATTCACCACCTTGTGTACTCTGAAAACGGAAAAAAGGAAAGTGCAAAAGCAAAGCCCTTGGGTAATTGGGTTAGATCTCCTTTCTAGGATCTTTACCCTGGTTTGTTTTGGTGGGTTTTCCTATTTTATATTTCAAGCAATTTTTTTTAGCACGGAAAATTATATTCAAGTCTTAAACTTGTAAAAAAAATGTTTTACCGTAACTTCATTTTTATATATAGATTGAAATATGTTTATATAAATTCAACATTTATTGTATGGTGTAGAATTGTAGAAACCAATTAGAATTGAAAAATAGATAAATCATTAATTAAATAAATAAGATGATTCGGTAATTTCATTTAAAGATAATTTCCAAACAAAATTGCAAAAAATAGTTCTTGTGGTATGTATTTTTTTAAGAAAAATATTCAAACACTAAATTTTTAGATTGATGGTCCTTTTCAATATGTGTATTTAGTTTTCGTTTTTGTCCAAATTGAAAAAACTATTAGTATATCATTTTTTCGTATTTTTAAGATCTTTTTAAGTATTTAATAAATTTTAAGAGGAAATGGTCCATTTCTCTTTCTCCTACCCAAATCTATGTGTAACACCCCGTTCTTTAAGTGTTTAATTATGAGTCCCTGAGATTTAAGAGGAAGGGTAATTTTGATCCTTCTACGAGAAATGAGTTTCATCCGAGAAGGTTTCGGGCTGGCGTATGTGTTAGAAGCATTGGGCTTCTCGTCACTATCGTATGCATGATAAGTTAATTGGGAGCGGGTTTAGATTAAAGGAGTTGCGGTGTTTTGAAGTTGATCATTGTTATAGCTCTGTGTGGAATTTGAGGAAATGGTTCCATGCATGCATGGCATGCATGCAAGCATTTACTTTTGAAGTCTGGCTGGGTACGCCCAACGTAAGCTGGATGTATGCCCAGCGTATGGGAGCGATAAGTTGCGGGTGGTCGGGTGAGTACGCCCAGCGTACCAGGGAGGTACGCCCAACGTACTCTCAGAAACCCCAAACCCTATTTTAGGGTCAGCCACTATATAAGGAACATGTTGGTTCACCCCTTAGCCTCCTTATGCTCATCTTCAACCTCAGAGAAACGCTAGATCTCGTGTTCTCTCCTTTATTGGGTGTGTTTGGCCTTGGAAAACTCTTTTTGGCAAAAGAAAGGCTTGAAGGAGAAAGGAGAAGTTGTCAAAGAAGAAGAAGAACGTGTGGAGCTTGTAGATCTGAAGAGATACCATCCTTTGGAGCTTGTTTGAGGTATAAAGCTTCTTGCTTGACCTTCATATTTTATAGATCTATGTATTTTGAAGCTTTGTCACCATTCTTGTCCCAAAAGTCCTCACCTTGTTGCATATTTCGAGTTGGTCAAGATTACCTGTCCTTTCAGACCTTTGGAGAGGTCTTGAGTGAGAAAAATGAGGTCCCAAGGGCTGTAGTTGTTCCATGTGTGAGATATATAGGTCTTAATGGATTAAGACCTTGGATTAAGAGCTTAAGGACGTCCCAAGTGATAAAGTCTGAGACTTTATGAATTCTAATCATATTTGGCCTATGGATCTGAAGTTTGGGCTTAAGAGCTTAAGCCATTAGGAGGTTAAAAGGACTTATTGAGCATTGCAGTTACGCCCCACGTAGCGGGCCAAAGCCCCGATCCTCATTTGCATTTCATTGTTGTACGCCCAGCGTACCAAGGATGGTACGCCCAGCGTAGTCCTCCTGTTGGACTTTCATTTTTGGGCTTTGAGTTTGGGTCGTTGATGGACAGTTGGTTATAGGGCTGGCCAAGTCTGGGAATTTATGGATAGAGTATTTTGGGCCCAATTATTGTTATGGACATTGGTTCTAGGCCCATTTGGTGGAGTGGGCCCAATTTGGTAAATTGGGCCAATGTTGGACTTTGTATGAGATTTGGACTTTGGTCTTGGCCCGATAAGTGGAAGTATGTTTGACCAAATGCTTATTTTGTTATAATGGTTAGTTCGGGATTTGCGGTGAGTTGGTGGTTCGAGAGTCTGCTTATTCAGTTCAGAGTATCGGCATTCGCGAGGTGAGTTATCCTCACTATATCGACAGGGTCTAAGGCACCAAGGCCGACCCTTTTTATTGGATTGAGATTCGGATATGGTTGTTATGATATTGCTTTGATATGTCTGCATCCTGGTAGCTAGGATGGTATACGCTAGAGACCTGATTAAGGTCGATTCCCCGATATATAGAGTGATGCTATGCTAGTGACTGGTTAGGTCGGTATCTTGGTTAGGGTAATGATATGTTATGTGATATGCTTGATCGGTTTGTGGGCTATGAATTGTTATATGATTGTATGTTATGTGCACATGGTTGTTTGGACTGGAGTTGGGTTGAGGCGGGTCCTGCTTTGTGCTGTAGGCCAAGATACCCAGGGCGGACCGGTTGTTCCGAAGGCCCATCGAGCGGTCCGGATAGGCTGTAGGCCTACGAGGGCGAACCAGACATGCCGAGGCTCGGAGAGTGGACCAGGCCGACTGAAGGCCCGATGCGGGCGGACCAGTCATACTGTAGACTCAGAGAGTGGAACAGGTGGGTTGAACGCCTAGTGCGGGCGGACCAACCACACTGCAGACTCGAAGGACATGACTAGACATGGAGGGTGGAATGAAGGCCGATACGGCAGACCAGTCACATAGTAGACCCGATATGCATGACTGTTCTATGTTCTTTTATGTTATGTATGCTATTTATGTTATGGGCCGGAAGGCAATATGTTTTGGACCGGAAGGTCGTAGCCTGGAAGGGCGTATATGTGGTTGGTATTTTGGGGGTATCTCACTAAGATTTTGGGCTTACAGTTGTGGTTTAAATGTTTTTCAGGTTCTCCAGGAGACCGTGGCAAGGCGAAGGCGTGATCGTACCGCTCCTCGTGTTTATGTTTATGGCATGATTCTGGGAATACTCTGATAATAAATGTATTGAAAACCTTTTTGTAATAACGTTATTAAAATGGATTGTTTTTGAAAAGTTTAAATTGTGTTGAAATTTTTGGTCGTTACAAGTTGGTATCAGAGCCTTGGTTTGAGTGAATTGAGGAACATTCGTGTGAATCCAGTCTCAAATCAAGGAGAGTTTTCAAAAAGAGAATTTCAAATGGTTTTCAAATTAAGTAAAAAGAGGACGCGGAGGTACGATCAACCGGAGCCAGTAAGTAACCCCAAAATACCATACATAAAAATTGTTTTCGAGCTTTGATAGAACAACATACTAGTACTAGGCTAGGGATCTTCAGGATTTCATGATAATGTTGCCTGTTTTATGATGCCTGCTAGCCTAGGGTTTCCCTCTGTATGAGATTTCCAGTGTTCCTCTAAGAGTGAGGATCGAGCGCTTGCTATGTATATTTGTCACCAGGGCGTTGTGGTAGTACTTCATACAAATATGGGTAGGTGTGAAAGGTAGTATGGGCCCGTACTACTGAAAGCACAGGACCCATACGCGTATCAGGGAAACCATGCCCTCTAGGGTTGGGTTGAGAGTTAGTGTTGGATTAATGTCTAAGTCCATAACTATAATTGGTAAGACTTGACCCGACCCGGCATGGTCCATTTGGGTTGCATACCATCATGCACTTGGATAGACTATAATGAGAGAAATAAGACACTTATGGTTATTAATATATTATAAGTTCTAATATATTAATAATAAGAATAATAAGATTATTTAATTAGTATTGATCAAGAATTAATCTAGGATTAATTAAGTGATCAAAAGAAGACTAATTAAATATATGGGTTGATTGTGTAAATCATCCATACTTATATAGTGGGCTAATGCTCCATGGAAAATCAAGTTGGGCTAAAACCCATAGGATGGTCCATGGATGCTCCATGGTGTATTTGAACCCATGGATCCAAGGAAATGGAAAGCCATGACAATTAAGGATTTACCCTAATTGTAACACTATATAAAGATCTTATTCTTGACAAAAATCGGCCACTAGTATCTAGAGAGGGCTAGCCGATTTCATGAAGTGTAGAACTCTCTCAAGTTATTCTAAGTGTTTTGATGATTGTGATTCCATTTGAGGCTTCCACACTATTGGGGCTAGGCACTCAAGCTTCATGAAGACTTTCTACATCAAAGAGGTATGTATTCTATCTTGTTACACTCATTGTTTTGTATGCTAGATTAGGATAATACCTTGGATGTTCTTATTTGCATGTATAATAGAGAAAACATAGATCCAAGGTATTTAGGGTTGCATGTACACTTAGGAGTGTTAGAATGCTCAAAACCCAACAGTGGTATCAGAGCCTAGGCTTGTTTTCTTGTTATACCTGCAAAATGCTTAAAAAATCGAAAGTGTTGCTGTTTGATCATCAGACTCGCGAGTCCATCAAGGGACTCGGCGAGTCCATGCCTAAAAATTGATCAAAACGATCCAACTCGCCGAGTTGGTTCATGCACTCGACGAGTTGGACCCCAGACAGCATATTTTCGAGGTTTTTGGCTAGAAATGGACTAGGAACATTACCCTAAGTTGTTTTTGAACTTATAAACTTGTTTTTTAATGTGGTAATGTTCATGCTAATCCATTTTCAAAGATAATTGTCAATAGATTCATGTTTTGTATTAGTTTAAGGTTTAGACTAATTACATGAAGAAGTTTGATTGAATTATCTTGTTCTTATGAGTTGCTTAGATTAATAGAAAAGTTAATTGAAATAGTTGTTTTCAATCCATTTTAATCTAAGAGTTGAGTATAAAATGTGTTTGTGTAACTTGTCCTCAAGTTACATGAAGAGTCACATTAAAGACTCATAAAACTCATAAAAGTTGGTAATGGTTACAAAATGAAGAGTCTTGTGTCATTGAATTTTTTTTATGACTCCATAACTTGTCCTCAAGTTATGGAAGTTCAAGAGTCACTTCATTAATAAATAAATAAATAAATAAAGTGTAACCTTAATTAATTCCATAAGTTATAAAAATAAAGAAAAGTTAATTCTTTATTAGTTTAAAGTCTTCCATAAGTTATGGAACTTGAAGAGTTTTTTGGATTAAAACTACTTTAAACACATAAGTTATGGAATTAATTAGTTTTGAATAGTTTCAAAAC